ACATTATGAAGTGAGTTTGGAGTAAAAATATGTTATTAAATGTGGTATTTTCACATGCTTTCAGATGGAGCAGCATTTACTTCACAGAGCCGTAGTTCACTGAGAAGCTATGCAAACAGCTGTCATTATCGCGAACGATTTCTTCGATTTCATATCGCGCAATAAAATGCGTTTTTTTTTGCTTAACTTGTCAGTGAACTACAGCTCTGTGTAGTAAATTCTGCTCCATCTGAAAGCACGTGATGATGATTTCCTGCTGATTACAGAACCGGCTTTTTTAACAACAGCCCTATTTGACAGTAATTAAAAAATACTGCATTACATTTATTGTTCATTTTAGTATTATTTATTATTATTTGCTATTGTTGTTTTTATGAAAAATATTTTTAGAAAAATTAAGAGAACTTAATATAAAAAATATTTTTTGTAATTTGCTGTGATCATTTTATTTGTTTTTTATTTTATGTTCAAGTAACTTATTTTCATTTTGGTTTTAGTTCACTTTCAGTTTTTATTTATTTCCATTTATTATTTTTAATGCTTAAAAATGTAAAATTCCAGTCTAAGGCAAAATTTTTTTTAGGTTTTAATGCAATATTTATATTTCATTTCAGAATTATTTTGAAGTAATACCAGTGTTGTAATGGTTTTATTTGTAGTCAACAAAAATTATCTTAATTATAATTATAAGAATGTAATGATGAGGATCACAATTGAGAATATAAAAAAAAAACTATAAATGAAAAAAAAAAAAGTTCAGAATTTGGTGGATTATGAATTTTATAAAATTCACCCCGGATGTATGCAGGCAGCTGTTTTTGTTGATTGCGTATGTCCCTAATAATCTCTTCCTGTCCCAGGCAGGAAATAATCTCCTGATCGTGCAGAGTCCAGGGGGGAGTCAGCCTGCTGTGGTGCAGTTGGTTCAGCAGAAATCAGATCAGCAGATCGTTCAGATCCCCCCGCAGGCTCTAAAAGTTGTACAGGCCGCCTCTGCCACACTTCCACCTGTACCACAGAGACAGACAGTCACGCCCAGTATGCAGGTGTCCCCCCCAGAACCCACACAGGTACATCAGAAAAGCACTTTTTGTTTTTTTTTCCTCGTTATGGTTTAATCAAGTTTAAACTAGGGCAATTAAGATTCCATTGCTAAAAAAGTTAAGAAAAATCAACAATTATCTAAAGATGTCATGCATATGCTCTGCTCTCCCAGGTGCTGATTAAAACAGCCTCAGGTGAATGGCAGGCTGTACAGCTACATGAGACAACTGTTACCACGCCAGCAACACCCACCAGCACGCCCACACCTGCCATGGCCACTAAAAAGGCTCAAACGGGGACAAGGAAAGAAAGGACTCTCCCTAAGATCGCCCCGGCTGGAGGGGCGCTGATAACACTGAACGCAGCACAGCTGACGTCTGCTGCTCAGGCAGTTCAGACCATCAATATTAATGGTGTCCAGGTGCAGGGTGTTCCTGTGACAATCACCAACGCTGGGGGTGAGTGAGTGAGTGCTTCATTTCGACAGACATCCAGCTTGTGATGTGATGTTAACATGATCTTGGCTGCATTTTGACTGGTGTCTTTTAGGCCAGCAGCATCTCACAGTGCAGACGGTTCCAGGTGCGCTGCAGCTGGGCGGTGTGCAGACACAGATGCAGACCATGCAGGTGGAACAGACACAGACACTCGCACTGGAACTGCAGAGTCAGCCAGGAGAGAAAAAGCGGCGCATGGCCTGCACCTGTCCGAACTGCAAAGACGCAGAAAAGAGGTGGGAAAGCTTCACATATAATGGGTTTGTTTGTAATTGGGGTAATGTAGGTCTGGGCGATATGGCTAAAATATCACAATTTGTTTTTCCCATGTTATTTGATATTGATATTTATTACGATATTAATTTGATACCGGTAAATGAGCAGTTCACCCAAAAATGAATGTTTACCCTCAGGCCATCCAAGATGTAGATGAGTTTGTTTCTTGATCAAAACCAATTTGGAGAAATGTAGCATTCCATCACTTGCTCACCAATGGGATCCTCTGCAGTGAATGGGTGCCGTCAGAATGAGAGTCCAAACAGCTGATAAAAACATCACCATAATCCACACCACTCCAGTCCATCAGTTAACGTCTTGAAAAGCTGCATGTTTGTAATAAACAAATTCACCATTAAGGCAATTTAACTTTAAACCATCACTTCTTGCCAAAAAAAAAACCCTTGTCCATAATAATGCTTCCCTCAGTGGAAAAGTTGTTTTCTCACATCAAAATCCACTGACATATTTGTTTAGGACTGTTTTCACTTGTTAAACGGTGCTTGATCTGTTCATATTTCTCACTGATTCAGGAAGTATTATGGACTTATTATGGTATTTCAGCCGGAAGCAACAGTTTAAAGTTTTGGATTTGTTTATTACAAACATGCCGCTTGTTGCTTCACAAGACGTTAATTAATGGACTAAAGCCATGTGGATCTTTTGAAATGTAATCAATTGAAAATATAATTAATTTGCAACAAAACATTACATATTTTGTCAAATAAGGTGATGCACAACAGAACTTGTATACTGTAAAATATATATATATATATATCTTGCTTATTATAGTGCTTAAAATAGTAAAAATAATAATATTATTAATAATTAAAATTATTTTTGTTGCTTGAGTGAAACTGCACTGCTTATTCACACAGAGAAATGCCGAACATAAAGATGTAAAAACAATAAAGTGTATTGAATTGAATGTGCATGCATACTTTTTAGCAATGCGCGGCCAATAGTCTAGAAGTAGGCTACTCAAAAGTTTGTTATAGATATGGATTTATTTTCTCTGATAAGTATATTATATAATAATGATATTTTCTCTGATAAATATCAATTCAAATGGTCAAGCAGCAAACTGGTTTGGGTTCTGTCCCGTGTAGATGAACTACCGTTCGGATGTAACTGATGCAGATCTCAGATCAGATTTTACAATGAACAAGTTTCTCAATTGCCCAGTGTTGATTAGCATTTTATAATGAATGGCTGTCGTTAAATGAAATACTCAACGTGTCAAAAATCACTTTTTACATGCTGCAGGCCAGGAGAGGTGGGGAAAAGAAAACACATCTGCCACATAGCAGGCTGTGAAAAGACCTTTCGAAAGACTTCGCTGCTGCGGGCGCATGTCCGACTGCACACGGGAGAGAGACCCTTTGTGTGCAGCTGGGTCTTCTGCGGAAAACGATTCACACGCAGTGACGAGCTGCAACGACACGCCAGGACACACACGGGTATGCAAGCTTCAAATACACACATGCACTAAACACAAGTGTGATGCATCAGTGTTTAAATTCTCCTCCTTTTTTTGTCCGTTTTCAGGAGACAAACGCTTTGAGTGCAATAAGTGTCAGAAACGTTTCATGCGGAGTGACCACCTCACAAAGCATTACAAAACACACATCAACACAAAGAGCCTGTGAACGTCGTCTTTCACAGGGCTTCAAGAACTTTGATGAGGGGGATAAGAAAGAAAAATGCTGTTCCCAGGGCTTGTGAGATGGGAGGAAACACATGTATGACGTGGCCCTGGAAGATCACCTGTTTTGACCAGCCGTTTCAGGGTAAACTACACTCCCGCTGACCACTTTTTTTTTTACTCGCCCTCATCAACAGAGAAACGCTGGCTGGCCGTAAAGTGTGGCCCTCAACTGGGATTCATGAAGAACATGGATGCCAGTTGTGTTTTTGCTGATTCCTCTGTAATACGGAGCAGAGAAGACGTCTGTCTCGGCACCAACAGACACTCGCTACTTTCCCCCCTGCACTTAAATTTGTTCACATGTTTTTGGTGTGTTTTAGCTAAACCAAGCCCCTCACATGAAGTGTAGCAGCTAATGGACAGTGTTTCTGGCTTTTATTGTGTAAATGTTTGTTTTCATACATGCAAACATACATTTGTACATACTATGGCAAATTTGAATACAAAAGCGACGCTTTGGACAAACTAATTATATTCAGTTGATAAATGAATTTTTTTTTTAGTCTGCTTTGGAATTTTAAACAGAAGCTTGAAACTTTGTATAACTTTGGTTGGTTGTTTTTAATATTAGTGGAGGTTTGGAAAAGACATATTTTGGCTTTTACATACTTGTCCATGTTAGACAATCATGTCTTATATAGAGGAGATAAACAGGAGGGTAAATATCTTGGGACTTGCTACACGTTGAAAGGTTGATCATCATAACAAGGAATAATTTATTTATAAAAAAAAAAAGCTGAAATGGCATTGAATGTATGCAGGTTGTGTCTTTATTAAAAGATTGCAAATGTGTCCGTTCAAAAAAAATGTAGATAAAGAAGAACTCGTGTTTATGTTCTCGTGTAAAGCAGGATGAAATGTCTCACAAAACAGGACGCAATATGATAAAAATGTGATTGTTGTTACATTATACCAATTGAAATGTTTTATTTCATTGAAGGTACTTGTAAGTCCATGCTGATGGATTTAATGGTTAGCTAAATTCAGTCATTCCATTTAAGTTCATCCAAGTTTTTGTCCAAGCTCTCTAAAAGAGGCCTTAAGAAGAAAAAAACCTGTGCTTATGTATGTTTGTATAGTGTTCACGCTGTTGTATTTGGGTGTAAAATGTAGGATAATTGTTACACAAACGTGTATTGGCTAATTTTGCCAAACATGAAAGATGTGGACTGTACAGTGTAAATGAGAAGGAAAAAACAATGTTGTATAGTTTCATTCCTATAATATCTAAGACTAATAGATTACCCTTTTTATTGACTAAAAGTTGCCTTAGTCTGCAGCACCCCATATTTAAAGAAATTTGTCTTTTTCCAGGGAACTGGATTTGTAGACCTGCTTTATTATATTTTTTTCTTTTATTATTTTTTGTCTAACTTATAAAGTGTGAAGAAATGCCAATTTATGTGCACTGACCAAATTCAGGGTTTTCACTTGAGTGGATAATTAAATTTTTTGGTTCATGTACCTACATCTGATTTGACAGAATAAAAAGTTCTTTATCGATCCTTGATAAACCCCACATTTAAAGAGCCCTGGCTTTGAAAATCGATAGGTAACCCTGTGTTTGTATAACTTGTATTGAAGAGCTTAGACCAGAGAACTTGCTATCTTTTTCTACAGTCAGACCACCGCTCCCACTCACCCAATAAAGCATAACACAAAACACTTGAGTGTTTTTCAATGTAATCAGTGCTTTCACTTACTCATGTTCAAACCCATGCATGACTTTCTGTCATGACTACATAGTACATACTTGCATCAGGAACAGAGCCCACGGGCCATTTTAGACTTAAGAAATAATTTTACTGTATACAAGTTCTGTTGTACATCAACTTATTTGACATAGTACCCCACTAAAATTTTTGATGTAACGTTTTAAAACCCTGCTAAATTTGTCAGCAATAGACTGGTACATTTGACAAGCACAGACTGTCTTAATTATTAACCATTTTGCACAATACATTTACATTTAGTTGGCACTTTTATCCAAAGCGACTTACAAATACATATACACAATATACAATACAAATCTGTAATTAATTATTTGTTGCTATAACTTACTTTGGGATAAAGCAAAAGGAAGTACATGGAAGTTGTATATAAAACAAAGAATATTGGAGTATTTCTTTATCAGAAAAAAAACGTTATACTTAAATTTAATGTTAATTAAGAGCATTTGTTTTTTGTAATTATTTGTAAATGTACTAGCAATTTCTGACTAACAATTTTCATTTTTTTTCAGTGTATACTGATGAGTAAAAAAAAACCACTGTCATGGATATGAATATATTTCAATTAAACAATTTCAGTTACATTGATGAAGTTTCTTTATTCTAGAAATTATTTTTCTCGTAAATGGTTGTCCCTTATTTCTCACTCAAGGTGGCAACCCTACTTTAGGCCTCAGCAAACGTCCAAGGGGGCCTACTGAGGATGACTTAAAATAAGACAAAATAAGCTAAAACAACTAAAAATCAAGATAGATATATGTATCTTATATATTCTTTCTTTCATTCATTTTTTGGCATTATTTTAGCTTGAAGTGTTTTACTAACACTACACTTTTTTTGGCATTTCCTTGTTTGTGCTCGACAATCTTTACGCACTTTACAGCTCTAGCTTCCATTTACATTCGTTATATGTATGGGGAAAAAAACAGCTTGTACATAATGTCTAACATCTACTTTCTTTTGGGTTTGTATGAGGATAAGTAAATTATATGAAGATAATAAAGATTTTTTTTGGGGTGTGCGGTAAGATGCTGACCTTTATTTTGAAGGGGAGTTACACTACTATACAGTGTTTTGAAGCGCCCTCGCAGTGTTTGGCTTCACGCTCCGCGCTGACGTGAAAGATGCCTGGAGAATAACAACATTGAACGTCTAAATCACAGGTAAGAAGCAGAAATCGCGATATTTTACACTATAAACGTTAGCAAAAACTTCCTACAAAGTATAAGGTTGCAAAATTATCTAGCGACTAAGAGAGTTAAACGAACTGACGTTTGCACAGAATAATTAAAAGATATTCTGACTGACGTGACTTTGGCTGTGTCTTAAAACCTGGGGAACTGCATGCCTGGGCAACACCTATGTTGCCCAAAAGTGCTGTATAGTTAGGCTGCTCACTAGGCACACACCCATTATTAGTTTGACATCCAAACCTTTTTTTCCTTCCTCCCAGGACCGTATTTCATCCCTCAGGGGTCTTCAGAAGACCATGGGGGGAAACACAGATGTGTTTGGAGCAGCTGAGTTCATATCAGAACTCTGTCACACTAATGTGGACAGTCCTTTTCCTGTGTGGCAGAATGGCACCATCAGTCCTTGTGTCAACCAGCTTCTGCTGGGATCACTGTCACATGCTGTTATCGCAATCACTAGTGCCTGTTACATTAGTGTGCCCAGGTGAGTCTTAAAGAAACACTCCACTATTTTTGAAAATAGGCTCATTTTCCAACTCCCCTAGAGATGATGGAGACAGTTGAGTTTGACCGTTTTCGAATCCATTCAGCCGATCTCCGGGTCTGGCGGTAGCACGTTTAAGCTTAGCTTAGCATAGATCATTGAATCTGATTAGACCGTTAGCATCTCGCTCAAAAATGACCAAAGAGTTTCTATATTTTTCCTATTTAAAACTTGACTCTTCTGTAGTTACATCGTGTACTAAGACTGACGGAAAATGAAAAACTGCGATTTTCTAGGCCGATATGGCTAGGAACTATACTCTTATTCCGGCGTAATAATCAAGGAACTTTGCTGCCGTACCATGGGTGCAGCAGGCGCAGTGATATTATGCAGCGCCTGAAAATAGTCCCCAGCACGCTCCCTGTGCAAGCAGGTGGTCACGTTGGTTATGTTGTTAATTAATGATGCTAAAAAATTCAGTGTTGCATCTCCCAAATAAATTGTATTTTAAAATATTTTACAATAGACAACAGTTGTATCAAAATTGTAATAATAATTCATAATTTTACTGTTTTACTGTATTTTTGATCAAATAAATGTAACCTTGGTGAGCATTTCTTTTTTTTTTCTTTTTTTAAATCTACATCTACCTCAAACTTTTGAATGGCATGTGTTAAAAACTATAGGTAGGTATGGTCACATTGACTATTGTTCAGTGATTTTTCATGGGTGATATAGTAGTCATTTCAGTGGAAATCCACACAATTGGAAATTTCATAAGACGGCGAAAGATTTCCCCACACAAATTTTTTACGGGTTCAAATTGGTTACACTGATTCACTGTGATGATGACCAACAGAAAGCTGATTGTTTTGAAAGTGAGCTGTGATTCATGCATCACTACATTATTGACAATAAACAATTGACCGTTTTGAATTCATGATCCAGTCAATGGTTAGAAATTAGTGCTGTCAAACGATTAATCGCGATTAAAAGCATCCAAAATAAAAGTTTTTGTTTACATAATATATGTGTGTGTACTGTGTATATTTATTATGTATATATATATACACACACACATGCATGTATATATTTAAGAAAAATATGTTACGTTTATATATTAAATATATTTATATATTATATAAATTATATGAATATAAATATATACATGTAAATATTTTCAAAATATATGCTGTATGTGTGTGTATTTAAATATACATAATAAATATACACAACACACACACATATATTATGCAAACAAAAACATTTATTTTGGATGCGATTAATCACGATGAATCGTTTGACAGCACGATTAGAAATACATCAGATTATTGAATTTTAAATTAATTTAAATTAAATTAAATTGCATATCATGTTGACTTTCATTATGTTCATGATGCCAAAACACATTTTCAAATGATCTTTTTTAATAATCCTTGTTTTGTTACCCACAGACTTACCCATATTGCATCCTCCCTTCCCATTGGCTGGGGCTTCAGGGCCGCGTCGACCTTGCTGATGGCTCTCATGTTTATTGGAGACTTGGTCCTGGTTTTTGAGCTCCAGGCCCCAGGCATCTATCTGAACGTCTTAGCCGATGGATGTGGCGTACTGGCCTGGTTGGTTCATTTTGGGGCCGTTTTGGCGTTACAAAGGTCCATGTACAGAAGAACTCGAGGTCCCGCTTTGTTTCCTGTGCTGCTTATTCTTCCCATCCCTAATCTAGCTTTTATCCTCACCGCTTACGTTCAAGAAATCAATCACCTTGGAGTCTTACAGCCACTGCAGGTTGTCCGTCTAGCTCTGACGGTAACCAGGGCTGCTCTGGTGCTGGTTTACATTTTAGGTTATATCTTTCCCTGTTACAGAACTCAAAGAGACCTTCTGTCCTGTAATGCAGAAGACACAGCTCCATTAATTGTCACCTTTGAGCCCGATGGAGGGGTGACTGTAGCCGAGGATGGATGCAGCTGGCTGTCCAGACTCCTCTACCTGTGGCTGAACCCTTTGCTCAGACGAGGTAAACGTGGAGAGCTGGAGAAACCATGTGACGTCTTCCAGCTGCCACATCGGCTACGTACCAAAGCAGTCACTCTCCGGTTCTACCAGTGCTGGCAGAAGTGCCTCCATCCGAGAGGTCTGGAGAGACCTGAGAGACAGGATCGGCTTCCGAGAGGAAACCTGCAGGACAACAATTGGAGCGAGGCCGAGCCAGAGAGGATGTGTGAAGGTGGAACACAACGTGATGTCAAGCTCCTGCAGGTGTTGCATAAGGCCTTTGGTCTGCGCTACTACCTTCTAGGCGTGTTGAAGTTAGTAGCAAGCATGCTGGCCTTTGCAGGACCCCTGCTTCTCGGTGGATTAGTGGGTTTCATGGAGACAGAGGGGGCGCCACTGAGCAAGGGTGTGTGGTGTGCTGTGGGGCTGTTTGCTAGTACCTTTCTTGCTGCCGTGCTGAGGAACGTCTTTGTTTATGAAGTATCAAAGGTTGCGCTGGAGGCTCGGGTTGCTGTGATTTCCACCATCTACAGCAAAGCGCTAAAAGTCAGTGCGTCCGCTCTGGCTCGCTTCAACATGGGCGAGGTGGTCAACTTCATGAGCACCGACACGGACCGGGTGGTGAATTTCTTTAACAGCTTCCATGAGGTTTGGAGTCTTCCCTTCCAGTTTGTCCTCGCACTTTACCTGCTTTACCTACAGGTGGGCGTGGCCTTTTTGGGCGGCGTGGCCGTGGCCGTGCTGCTCGTGCCTTTAAATAAAGTCCTGGCATCCCGAATTCTGGAAAACAATAAACATATGCTGCTACACAAGGACGGACGAGTGAAGGTGTGACTGCTTTGCATATGTTTAGTCCATGATCTGTAGGGTTTTCATTTGTTTTTAATCTTTTAATTTGGCTTTAAGTAAATGCACTGCTGTTTAAAACGTTTAGGGTCAGTAAGATTTTTTCTTAAGTAAGAGAGAGAGAGAAAATAATACTTTTATTCAGCAAGGAAATTGATCAAAAGTGACAGTAAATATTTTTATAATGTTACAAAAGATTCATATTTCAAATAAATGGTGTTCGTTTGAACTTTATTCATCAAAAAAATCTAAAAAAGAATTATATATATGGTTTCTACACACATATTATGTAGCTCATATTTAAAAATGAATGGTGTTCTTTTGAACTTTATTCATCAAATCTTATATATAAAAATATTTATATATATATAATGGTTTCTACATAAATATTATTAAATATAAA